AGTTTCCTTACTTTTTTTCAGAGTATTAATATTAAAATCGCCACAGAGTATTACTTTATTTTTTCCAAGGCAAAATTGATTTAATAAAGAAGTAAATGTTGCTAAAAACTTATTGATGTCTTCGGAGCTTACCCTGGGGGGTCTGTAAATGCAGAATATATATAGTTTATGTTCAGGTAATTGTATTCCTGAACATTCGATTACACCTTCAATCGAATATTTTTTTATGTTACTGATTGGTATAAACTTTTGTGAGTTATGTACCAGAATACAAGATCCACCACGACGATTCCTACGACTAAACACTGAACCCAATGAATAATTTGGAATGTTTAAGATATATAAATCACTACTAGACATATTGTGTTCGGTAATGCATAAAACTTTAACATCTTTTACACTTTCTATAGATTCTAAAGATGTAGTTAATAAGTCACACTTGTTTATGAGGCCGTTAATATTTTGATGAAGTATACTTATTTGGTTATACAAGAAAAAAGTTGGTAGAATTAATTTGAGAAGAAGTTTCAATTACCATGTCAGTTTGGGTGCTACTATTAGAAAAGTTATTACATTTTACAGGGTCGTCAAACATGTCAGTTTGGGTACTATTTTCAGTATAGGTCTTCTTATGTTTCGGTATGTCATTTAAGCTTTTACAGTATATCTCATATTTTAATTTATAATCCACACGTAATAATTCTTGTAGAAGTAACTGGCTTGTATATAGAGGAAAATATTTGCGCCTAGGTATCATGACAGAATAATTCATTTCAATATAATTAACACACTTAAATTCAGAGCATATAAATTTAATTTCATAATTTAATTTTCTTTCATTAAGATATTTGTTACGTGGTACTTCTGATACTAAAATATTGGGTTTGCTCGCATTGTTTAAAAATTGTCTAAGGAAAAACAATAGTTCACGAGGATTTTTATCATTAATTCCTCCAAGTATTATTACAAAATCATTGCTGTTCAATTTGTTTAACTCAGATTCTGCAGGCGCTAACACCTCTTTTAAAGGGGCTCCATACTTCGAGTAGCAAGTTACTATAAACTCATAACCAACCAAATTCTGCAGTGTTTCTCTTATTTTATAACCTTGTTCATCCGCTACAATAACAATTTTTTGTTTCCCTACTTTACTACCCTTTTCATGGGAATTTATTTGCTCTTTGCTTGCATACAGAAGAGGAGTGTCACAGTTTATTTCTGTTTTTTGTTGATTATCTTTTTGCAATATTTTATTTGAAAATGTAGTACAACAGGCAGGCAAGTTCATGGGTTTTTCAGACGGTATTGTCAAAATATTTAAGTTGTCATTATTTATCGCATTTTGTTCTAATTCATCTAAAGGTCGATTTGTTTTAGAAATTGGGGAATTATTTATACTTTGATCATCTGTTCCTGGGTTTGTTATTTGTGCTGGACTTTTTAAGATCTTATTTTGTGAATACTTTCTTTTGCGTCTTGGTGTAGGCGTCATACTTTTCCTATCAAATGTGTTTATTCTTTTGTATGAGTCTATTATTTTTAAGGACTTATCAAGGTCGGCTTTTAGTCGAACATTTTCGGAATTAAGGTTCTCAATCTCTTGATTAGCACTTAGAAGATCGTTTGTTAATGATTTAATTTTTTCGTTTAAGTCTTGCAAAGTTTGACTATTGTTGTGTAAGGTGTCAGGTAGACTCATTATTGTCGTATCAAAAATGCGTGATTCTTCGATGTTGGTCATGTCACTTAGTGAACTAGTTCTGTAAGGTTTTCGATATGTTATGTTTTCTAAATCCATGTTTCGTTGAGTCTGTTCTGTGTTGTATAATAATTGTAATTAATTTTGTTGTTGTTTATACGAGTATAGCACTTTACAAGCGAACTAATTATTTTTGATGTTATCTTAAATTTATGATAACGAAGAAAAATCACAAAAAGTGTAATTGATGTTTTGTGGGATCCGAACTCACACTTCGTCAATTATGTGGTCAACACTTAATGCATCACGCTACCCGTTCATTTACTAACACATGTGAAATTGCTGTATAGGTTGTTCGTTGATAACAAATAAAAGTTCGTTAAACAGATTTAAAATTGTTCTGTAGGTCAAAGTCCATTCTTTTTGTTTAATGATGACCGCTGGTTTTTTTTTTCCGTTTTTTATCATTTGTCACTTATAACACTTATTGTTTATTTTAAATAGTATACATTACACTTTGAGCACATTATTTGAGTTTTATTAGGATTAATATTATTGCCTTTCACTAAACTTTGAAATGTTTTTGCTTGTAATTTGAGTAATTCTAGTCACACTGAAATTTTAATTTAACCACTGGAATCATGGATTTAGTAGCATTAAAATGAATACTAACACAACTTTAAACGCGAATTTTAACTAATTATTATGACTGTTTCTTTACGGAGCAATGTAGCACACCGTGCACACCTCGAAGCGTCTATCAAACAAAAAAAAAGGGGCTTTGACTTTAAGGGGCTTTGACTAGATAAATATGTTTTAGATTTTATTTAAGCCCTCAAAGGGCCATTTAAATTGCGAGAACAAATTGTGCCTTATGTAATGCATGTTACTTGTTAAATGTCTGTTACAATACTTTATTTAATTTCTAGATTAGTTATACATTGCTCGTTTTTGTTTTATTTTACTATTGAGGTCATTAAGCACTATGCTTAAAGACCTCATTAGTATCTCCCAATGGACAGTTCTTAAGATGAAGAAGAATTTTATGATGAAGAAGAATTTTTTTTAAAACACCCATAGACCGAAATGTCGTTATGGATACTTGCCGCCTGGTAGTTGTTAGCTAAGCACTGGCTAATTTCACTTGGGCTCGATTCTCTTCAGTACCAATGAAATTGTGAATTATAATTTTAAGCGCCGGTTTATCAGGAGCTCAGCGGTAAAGGAAAACATTGTCTGGACACCTGCATGTGTACGGAACAAATATTTTGTGGGTATGTGATGTCCGCCAACGCGCACTGGAGCAGCGAGGCGAACTAATTATGAGCAAATTGTACTTTTCTCTCGGAAATAGAGTAGTCCTGTGTCGGAGGCGCGTGTACTGACGTATAGGCTGCAATTTTACTTTCACATTTATTTTGTTCCACCAACCCACAGCAGCAAATATTGTAAGCGAATGTTTATAGAACAACATGTTCAGTGGTAAACTTATAGCATAATAGTAAACAATTGGCCTCATCTATCTTTTATACCCAGTAATTGTAGATCGTGCAGTCATATAAAACAATAATATAAAATACAAATCTCTAGACGGTTGGAAAAGAATTTTGCAATATTGTATTTGAAAATACACCACATCGACGGCTGTGACACATTGTACTTGTAGATTTTATCCTTGTTTGGACATTATTCAGCTTATGTGGGAATATCAAATGGCAAATATCTTCCATAAAACATGAGGCACTTTTGTTCTATTCTATGTGATTTTCAGGATACAATTTAATTTTGGTATAATCGAACAATTTAATATTAAATGTTATGTCTTCATAATGTTTCAGTTTTTCCGTCAGTTACCGTTCACAGCTGTCACCTCCTGTCTTCGAGATTATTACGTCAGCACGTTGAAATCTCGGTCTCCTGCTGCCTCCTGGTGACGTCGGCACGTTGACGTCTTCCTATCTTCGAGCTCGTGACGTCGGCACGTTGGCCTCACGGCCCCTCAGCTTCCTCCGCTCCCCACGGCTTCCTGGTGACGTCGGTACGTTAACGTCCTTCTATCTTAGGGCTCGTGACGGCGGCACGTTGACCTTACGGCCCCTTAGCTTTCTCCACTTCCCGCGGCCTTGTGGTGACATCGGCACTTTAACGTCCTCCTATCTTCTGGCCCGTGTCGTCAGCATGTTGACCTTACGGCCCCTCAGCTTCCTCTGCTCCCCGATGCCTCTTGGTGACGTCCTCCTATCTTTGGGTTGGTGAAATTGACACGTTGATCTCACGGCCCCCCAGCTTCCTCCGCTCCCCGCGGCCTCCTGTTGACGTTGGCGCGTTAACGTCCACCTATCTTCGGGCTCGTGACGTCGGCACGTTGACCTCACGGCCCTTTAGCTTCCTCCGCTCCCCGTGGCCTCCTGGTGACGTTGGCACGTTGACGTCCTCGTTTTCTTTCTCCGTTCCCTGCGGCTTACTTCCTGTCTTCGGGCTCATGACGTCGACTTGTTGACCTCACGGCTTCCCTGCTCCCTTCGCTCCCCGCGGCCTCTAGTCTTCAGGCTCGTGACGTCGGCATGTTGACCTCACGGCCCCCCTGATTCTTTCGCTCCGCACAGCCTTCTGTCTTCGGGCTCCTGACGTCGGCACGTTGACCTCACGGTCCCTCTACGTCTACTTCGGTTTCGATCGTCGTACCGAGTGGACGTGCGCTCTCCCGTGACTACTGTGATATATTTTAATAGTTTAATTCTTAGTTATTTCTGGTGTTTCTGTGTATATTTTGTTTTTAATTGTTGACTAAAGTATTGGATTAAATAAAACTGTGCTGTGGACGTATCTTTTTAAACATTTTTAATAATTTTAATTAGATATAAGCACGTGTTTCTAGATTAGGACCACGCGGTTACCGCGTGCTAATTTGAGGTTAAGTTCTTTGCTTTTTGTGTATTTGTTGTTCTGTATGGACCATTTATTGTAAGTAATTTCACTTTTAAACTTATTATTAACATATTATTGAACTTTAATTGAGGTTAGTGTGTGCTGGTACGTGGCCGTTGTTCTGACACTGACAGCTGTCATTGTATACAGTGACGTTGGCAGCTGTCACTGTGTGTGACATTGACGTTGACGTTGACAGCATATTGTGTTTTGTTTTACTGTACTGGTCGGTGACATATTAAACAACACAGAAATAAATAAAGTTTCGGCTACCGGTCAAGACTTAATTGCTATCGTAGCGGCAATGAAGGTCCACGTGATGGAGGTTCATCTTGCGTTATGCAAAGCTGAGCGTGATAGGTCCCTTTTGAGGATGCCGAAAGGTGTTACGTCGGTGCCCATCCCCGAAAAGTCAGGCCCGGTCTTGGCCTTTTATGCTGCCGGGGAACAGGCTTGCCTAAAGGCAGCGGACGACATCATGGCGGAACTTAAGAAGTCGGTGAGGTCTTCTGAGATCAATATCCAGGTATCCACATAAGGAAGGTAGGGAAAGCCGGGGTTGTGGTCCAGACCACGTCCCACGAAGCGGCGCAGAAGCTGAGAACTGCGGCTCCTCCAACATTGAGGGTAGCAGAGCCACGACAGCGCCAGCCATTGGTCGCGCTGCGTGGATTTGAGGAGGACGGTAAGACGGAGGACATCTTGCCGGCACTCCATGACCAAAATTTTGGTGAGGATATGACGTGAACCCTGGAAGAATTAAGCGGCAGTGTAAAGTAGCTTTCAAAAAGTCGTGGAAGGGAAGCATGCATACCACGGTGGTGCTACAGTGCACCTATGCATTAAGAGATGCATTAACGGCCAGGAACGGGCTCTACGTAGGATGGGACGTTGTCGAACCCTGTGACTACATTGAAGTCACCTACTGCCAAAAATGCCAGCAATACGGACATCGTGCCAAGTACTGCAGGGCTCAGGAAGCCACATGTGGCAGATACGGGTAAGAGGGGCACAGCAAAGAGGAATGCAAGTCGGAGATTTGGCAAGCCAGGCGCGAAGATCCATGCGACGATGGCGAAGACCTGCCCGGCTAGGATGTACGCGGAGGAAAGGGCCATAAATACCACGCAGTGTGGGTAAGGTGGACCATTTGAATATTGGGCAGCTTAACCTGGGGCGGCGTGAGGTGGCCACGAAGGAGCTGCCTGCACTAGCGTGCAGCCTTTGCCTAGAAATTATCCTTGTTCAGGAGCAGTGGGCCCAGTCAGAAGATTTAATCCAGTTTGGTGTGCTGCCACATCTTAATAACTCCCACTGCGTGGCTTGCTATGTGGAGAAGTACGGTCTCTACCTTATCTCTGCGTACTTTAAGTACAGCGACTCAATTGACCAACATTTGCAACACCTAGAGACCGTACTTGACCAGCTAAAGGGCAAGCGCGTTGTCATCGGAGTTGATTGCAACGCACACTCGCCACTCTGATACAGTGATAGAGCACAAACAGGGGGAAAAGGATACGAAGCAGAGCATCGCAGGAGGATGATAGAGGATTTCATCATGTTGAGAGGGCCCACTCTGGCCAATATGGAGGGATAACCGCCCACGTTTGCTGAGGCCATGGGTGAGTCAAACTTCGACCTAACCCTCGCGACTAGAGGTTTCACCGTATCAGGTTGGCCAGTACTGGATTGCGCCAGCATGAGAGACCATCGGCTCATCACTTTCAAGGTTGCGCGGAGCTTACGGGGCCGGTGGAGGTGCCTGCTCGTTTTCGGGACCGGGGGATTGACTGGCGCTATTTTCGCGGTACAATTCACTTAAGAATGGGAAATCTGAAAGCTCAACAGCCGGCTGACCGACTCTGCGCGCAGTTCACGGAAATCGTCGTCCAATCTACGGAGGACGTGTTGAGGAATGCGCGCTCGAGGTGGGAAGGCGGCTATGAATAGTGGACACCTAAACTTGATAGTATGAGGAACAAGGTATGTAACGCGAAAAGAGTGTAGCAGAAGACCAGAAAAAAGGGAGGCAGGTCTGAAAAATTGGCTATGGATAGTTTCCATAGTGTGCGAGCGAGATACCGACAGATTATGGGGGGAACGGAGCTGGCCTACTTTCGTAAAATAGCAGAAACAGGTAACATGGAACCATAGGGGCGTGCTTACCAAGTCGCAAGCGGGAGGTTCCGTCCTCCCAGCAATGTAGTCAACGCGGTAAAGTTTGAGGAAGGGTACACCCGAGGAGTGAGAGAGACCATGCGGGGCTTGTTCGTGGCGTTGTGTCCGGACGACGATAGGTCCAAGGATACAGTTGCGGTGTGTCCCGAGCTTGGTGAGGGGCATATCGGATTACCAGCACGGATTTTCACCGGGTCGGTCCACAGTAACGGCGCTGCAAGACGTGCGTGCGAGTCACAGTGCAAGTATGTGCAAGCCGTCTTCTTCGGAAGCATTTGATAATGCATGGTGGCCAATGATACTGTTGAAGGCTAAACAAGGAGAGATTCCACCTAATATCTACCGCATGTTGGTGGACTATTTCACCAACAGACGAGTGGGTATATTCGTAGACTGTGCTGAATGGAAACGCTCGACCATGGGCTGCCCGCAGGATCAGTCCTTGGAACGATCTTGTGGAATTTACTGTTGGACGATTTTTTGAGGCTGCCCTTCCTTTTAGGGACGAAAATATTGGCGTATGCAGATGACGAGACACTTTTGATAGAGGCGAACTCTAGAACTGAAATAGAGAGAGCGGTCAAATCTGCACTGGAGTTGGTATCATCGTGCGGAGAGAGGAATTGGTTATCCTTCTCCTACGCGAAGTCCTATACTATGACTATTAAAGGCAAGTTCCAGCGACCACCCGTTATAAGGATGAGGTTATGTAAACTAAAGTATTGGGTGTTACGTTAGACACGAGTCTGTTCTTTATTCTGCACGGCAAAGATGTGGGAGAGAGGGCTGGGAGATGCTTTTGGAAGTTGTCGCGGGTGTCGGCATCTTCTTGGGGCATGCGCTACTCTACCCTTCGTGTTTTATATAAGGGAACATATGTTCCAATAGTGACATATGCTGCGGCCGTTTGAGTTGATCTGGTCGGGAATTATACAGTGCGCACTGCACTGCTGAGATCGCAGAGATCCTCGCTCGTGCTATTGACAAAGAGGTACAGGACGATAAGTACTGCGGCGCTCCTGGTATTAGCCGGCGTCCTGCTGGCGGATCTGGAGGTACCTCGTGTTGGTGGGATTGACCAGGCGCTCTACGTAGGGAATGGGGAGTTGAGAAGGCGTAAGCGCGAAATTTGGGCTGAAGTTATGAATGTATGGCAGGAACGATGGACAAACGAGACGAATGTTAGGGAATTATTCTACTTTTTCCCGGACGTGGCGGCGCGACTCAATGCAAATTGCGTCGTGCCGGACTATCCAGCCTCACAGATTCTCAGTGGGCAGAGTCTCAGTTGATATGAAATTGACTAAGTCTAGTATGTGTGAGTGTGGAGTGGCCTACGAGGATAGGCACCACGTTCTGTGGGAGTGTGCTTTATGATGACCTGCGGTGTAAGATGATTGATGAAATGGTACGCGGAAAGATTGGTCCGGTTTACTACCTGGATCTCGTGGACGGTCAGGAGAGCTTTGGCCGGCTGCGTGAGTTTGCGCACGGTTAGCATGCAAGGAGGACTGCCATGGAGAGACGCGCCTTCACAAATGAAGACCAACCCGGAACTGAAGGCGTGCTGTGTTTGTTCAGCCCAGAAAGGTAGAGTGCAACTACGGGACAAGGAAAAGATTATATAACTTGTAGAGAGTCAAGAAAGTGGAAAGAGCCCTGAGCAAGTACCGCATGCATCTCTCGAGATTCAGCCCGTATAACCGCAAGGTTGGTGGGCCCATGGTAGGTGGAGGTCCCTCTACGTCGTCGATATTCGTACTGAGCAAACGTATCTGTGCGCTCTCGTGTTACTTCGTGCCTTTATAATTGCCTTTATAAGTTATTTTTGTGGTGTTTTTAATATTATTGTGCTAATTGTGGAATCTATAATTACTTAGACTTTATTGTGTTGGACAGAGAAAACTGTTTTATTTGTGTATCCTTTTTTAAACATTTTTATGGAAAAATTAACACATGCTTTTAGGTTAAGACCACGCGGTTACCGCGTTAAAGGTTAAGTACTCTCGTATCTTGTGTTTATTTTATTTGTTTGTTGTTTATGGACAATTTGTTTACTTTTATTTAATATAGTTTAAATATAATAAAATATTATAGTTTAAATATATTTCAATTTGTAGTGCCTTTGTACAAAATATCTCTATTTTTTATTTTTCATAGTAATATTACTTTGTGTGTACATAAATTGTTAAATAAATAAATAGATTTTACTTCAATTAAAAGAACACTTTGACCATTTCTAATTGAGTATAGGGAGTGTTGGCACGTGGCTGTCTAGTTGACACTGACAGCCGTCATTGAACGTGACGTTGACACTGACAGTGACGTTGACAGCTCTCACTTGTCATAGTCACTGACGTTGTAAAATTGCGTTCCGTTTCTATACTTTATTTTTTATATTTGATTTGATGATAAGATTAAGGGCTGAGAAGGATAAACTTGGAGCTGAAGGAAGACTGGCGCAGGTCGAGGCAGGAGCGGTTCCTTGCCACGTGACGGACCCAGCACCGCAACGCTCCTACTCTGCGGCACTGAGGTTGCCAAAGGGGCATGATCAGCTTCTGATGCCTTTCAGCAAAGGCCCAGTCGTCGCTTTTTACCCGGCAGAATCTGAAAGACCAATAAAGACTGCAGAAGATATCAAACTGTAGGTGAAGAAGGCTGTCAACCCTAAGACGAGCGGTCTACAGATTAATAAGTTGAGGAAAGTGGGAAACGCAGGAGTCGTGATCCAGACCACGTCCCAGGAGGCGGCTGAGAGGCTGAAAACTATGGCCCTTCCATCTTTGAGGGTGTCTGAGCCCAAGCAGCGCCTTGCCCTGCTTGCTCTTAGGGGCTTTGAAAAAGACCTGAAAAATAAAGACATCAAAAGTGGCTTATACGAGCAGATTCATACTGCTTGTGGCTGGAGTGACGAGAAAGCAGGCGAACTACAGTGATACTCCAGTGCTAGTAGGCATAACCGTCTTTACGTTGGCTGGAACATGGTGGAACCATGTCACTATGTGGATGTCACGTGCTGCCAGAAGTGCCAGCAGTATGGGCATCCGGCTAAGTACTTCCGATCTAAGGACACCGTATGTGGAAAATGTGGGGAGACGGGACACGAGCGTGGGGCTTGTAAAGCCACAGAAGATAAGTGCACCACATGTAATCGTTTTGGTCCTCCCGACTCTAGCTCGCATGTAACCATGGCGGGGGACTGCCCAGCAAGGTTATACGCAGAGCAACGCTCCATGGCCACCACACAATATTGCCGATAAGGACGCCACTTCTCTACCACTTGATCGGGTAATTAATATAGGACAGATAAACCTGGGCCGGGGGGAGCTTGCCACGGCTGAGTTGCCTATCCTGGTGCGTGAACTGCACCTAGACATTGTTCTTGTACAAGAACAGTACTCCCAAATGCGGGGATCGTCCAGGTGGGCGGTCATCCGTGGGTTGGCGTCTTTCTTGCCAACCCAACAATTGGAGCAGCTGTGCTGAGTCAACTCAGCAATGAGTTTTGTGTGGTGTGTCACGTAAACCGATTGGATCTTTACGTGTTGTCACCGTACTTCAAATTTAGTGACCCCATCCATGACCACCTGCACCACCTAGAGGTCACCCTGAGTTGTCTAAAGGGCAGAAGGATTATCATCGGCGTCGACGCCAATGCGCGCTCGCCACTTTGGCATTGCAATCGCCGGCACTACTTCGGAAGAGGTCAGAATGTAGTGTAATGAAGTGTGTGACAGTTGATGGAGGACTTCTTATTTTCACAGGCACTTACACTGGGAAATCAGCCTGACCAGCCCTATACATACAGTGGACCTGAAGGAGAGTCGAATGTGGACCTTACGCTGTCCATTGGAGATGTACAAGTTGCTGAGTGGCGAGTGCACGATGGGCAGGTAAATGGTGGACATTTGAACTGTACAAAACTCGGAAGTTGCAATGCAAACTTGGCAGAGTAAAATGCGTCTGGGAGGTAGGTCTGAGGAGTTAGCCAGGATGGTTTTTCATAGTGTGCGTGCGAGATATAGTAAGATGATGGTGGAGGCGAAGCAGTCGATGCACGGGTAGGTTGCCAATTCTGGTAATGTGGACCCATGGGGCCTTGCATACAGGCTGACCAGCAGGAGGGTACGTCCGCCTGCAAATGTGATCAATGGGATCGCCTTTGCGGGTGGACACCCGGACAGCCTGGAAGCGGCAATGCACAAATTAATGTCTGCGCTCTGTCCGGATGGCAGCACTGACTTCACCTCGCCGTAAAACTGGCAGGTTTGTCTGCTGGCGGCGTTTATGCCGTCAGCAGAC